GCCGGGCCTGACCGAGTCCCACAGGGTGAGCCCTGCGCCGCCCGGCCGCAGCCGCCTCCCTGACCCCAGCAGACCCCGTGGGTGCGGCTCAGGGCTGGCGGGCAGCTGTGCCTGCGGGCCGGCTGTGTTCGGAGCACTGTGTTCCCAGAGTATGTAAAAATGCCCCCTAGCTGCCTTTTGCCACCTTGGGTCTATGTCTTGGTCTTCCAGGGCTGCGGTCGGAAGGCGTTCTTATGCTGGCTTTGGGTTCTGAGGCTTGCTGACACGTTGGTGTGTGTCAGGGGTTGAGGACTATTTTGTCAGCCAGCTGTGTGGGGACGGCCTCCCCCCCCCCGCCTTCCCCTTCCCCCGCTCGCTCCGCTGCTGGCCGTGGTGACCCTGGTGCCCCCGGCTAGAGGTCCAGTCAGCCTTCCCAGCAGTGACAGAGGCCTGCGTCGGAGGCCTCATTTCTATTCCAACCATCACCTCTGGCACCTGGTGCCAGCTCTGCTGCTGCCATGCGGCGCTGTTGGTTTAGGTGTTTGCACTGAGTGTCAGCAGGTTCCGCTCCTGTCATTCATTCCTTGCCTTTGTGCGTGTGTGGCGGGGCGGGGCGGGGGGGGGGGGGGGGGGGAAGGCTCCTGGGGTATAAACCCAGGGCATGGACGCTGTCCCTGAGCGCTTTTTTCTTTTCCTGAAGGCTAGCTCTCTACCACTTAAGCCATAGCTCCATTTCTTTGTCCGATGGCTAATTGGAGGTAAGAGTCTCATGGACTTTCCTGTCTGGGCTGGCTTTGAACTAATCATCAGACCTCAGCCTCCTGAGTAACTGGCATTACAGGTGTGAGCCACCAGCACGTAGCTCATTCCTTGTCTTTTTATCACTCTCTCCGCCAAATTGCATTTTGGTGGTATTTGGAGGAAAAATTACATCAATTGGGCTGCTAACTCACAGCTAGCTGTTCAGAAGGCGGAGATCTGAGGATTCGGTTCAAACCCTCCTAGGCTGTTAAAGTCAGAAGTGGAGATGAAGTTCAATGCTAGAGCACTAGCCTTGAGGGAAAAGAAAAAAGAATGCTGCTGTCACCAGACTGGTGACGAGTGAACTGTGCGGGGCCAAAGCTCTGAGGCTCAGCCTCCGGGGAGGCCCGCTAGAGGAGGCAGGGCCTGTGGGGGCAGCATGGGGCAGTTTTGTGAGATGCTGTGACCCACTGTGATTCAAATGAGTTGGGGGGGGGCTGGGCTCCACGCAGCCCGCAGCCCACGCAGGTGTCAGCGGTGCCAGCCAGCGGGGCTGTGCTGACGCCTTGGTGGCTGGCCTGGCTGCTCCCAGCCCCGCCCCTCCCCCCAAGGCGCTCAGCGTGGGGGGCAGGGCGGGTTTCCCCAGGACCGAGGTCCCACCTCGGACCAGCCTCTCACCTCTGGGTCCAGGGTCTCCCAGCTCCCCGGTGGGACCACGATACCCAGGGGGCCCCCGAGCGCCAGGGTGGCCGGTGG